CATTTTGCCTCAGCCGCATGGCTGTGACATGTTTGGCGCCAGACTGTGAGACCTTTGCTCAGAAGTTTGTGCTGCACTGTGTCACACCTGGGGCTCTGGGACCGTGGACTGGGGAAAGCATTCACGGTGAGTAAGGGTGTCCCAGCCTGGTCCTACATCAGTGTGAGTATTATCAGAAAATCTGGGAAAGTATGAATTATTTATATAGGCATTTAGACCTCGAGAAGTGACAGCTGAAAATAGAGTGAGCGGTGAGGATGAAAAGTGATACACCCCAATTCTTTTGTCATGTACCTGGTGTTATTTTCCTGTATTTTTCACTGGCTGAAGCCAGGAGGCAGCTGAATGGCAGCATTTATATTTTCCCAGAATAAGAGATTCAGGCCTTTGTTTATTTCTCTGTAGAAAGTGATAGTTCCCACAAATGACTGCAGAGAGATGTGCATATCGAGGACAGTGAGTGTTTCAGATTGCTTTGATAAGAACAAATAGCCTACAAATGACTAGATAGGAAATGGGACATGGCACATGGTCTTAAACTACCTCCCTTAATAATAGTTTTTGCAAAACAGCAACATAAATACCTGGTAGTCATGTTGCCGAGAGGCATTCAGTGGTCCTCATTCTGACACTTTAAGGTAAAAAGTAGTTAATTGGATTTCAGAATTTGACAGGATTAACAGTTAAACATATTTTTGAACAGAAGATTTTGGCAACTTTTTGCTCATTTTTTGTTTGGAATGAGGGAAAGACTTAGAAAGTTAAATTGTTCAGAATTTTTTTTTTTTTTTTGAGGATGAGCAATCTGAGCTTGACCAGTTTGCTAAACATACTGAGACTCTCACATTTCCTCTGAATGTAACTCTAGTGCCCAAATTTTCTGTACCCACTCATTTCAGACAGAGATTATAAACAGTGGGTTTCTCACCCATTCGTTTCATACCAAGATGATAAACAGCTGAGCTTCAACCCCTCTGTAGAACTGCAGTGCTCCATGACAGATAATGCAGCTATCTGTGTACTGTCCCTGTTGGTAGCTCTGGAGTTTCTCCTCTCTCACTGTCCAATCTGTATCTGCCCAATTCCCATCAGAAATTCCTGCTCTCTGCTCTGATGTCTCTTCCAGCACACACACTCACACTTGTGTCCCTTCTCCTACCGATTTGTCTCTACAGGCACATTCAACCTCTGATAGTTTTCACTTGAACTGGGATTAAAGGATCACAAAATTAATTCTAAATTTCATTGTGACTCCTAGATTAGTCAGAATGGCCAAAAATTTGCACAGAAGCTAAAGATTGTACATGAACTTGATTGTTATATGTTATTATTGGCCTGAAGATTGGGATTGTTTCATTTCTCTGGTGTAGAGTTGTATTTTCTTCCTTCTTTTGTAATTGCCTCTATGAGTGTCAAGCAGCCCTTGAAGACATGAAGATTTTTATTTAAAAAAATCAAAAATGAAACACACACTGAGCTTAAATAGAAAGTATTCAATTTGTTTCAGTTAAGTAACAAGGTATCTTCTGAGCACCTGGAAGGTATTCCTAAATAGTCAGACCAGTAATTAATGAGTATTTAATATGCAGAACAAAACGCTGTTCGGTAATTAAGTACCACCTTGGATCTCAAGATCTCCAAAGCACCTTATTAGTCTAAATGAATGAAAATGTCTGTAATTCTACTCTCTTTGAGATAAATAATTATTACCACAGCTTTCAAGAATGGGATATTTGAAATTTTTAACTTGCCCATCATCAGACTGAGAAACAGTCAAAACACTGTAATATTTTGTTCTAAATCTGACAAAACCGATGAGTTGCAGGCAAGCACTAGATGGGCATTTACAAACCTAAGCTCATCACAGCAGTGCGGGGTGGGAGGACAAGACACAATTGATTTTAAGTTGAAACAGGGGAGATCAAGGCTGGATGTGATGAGAAATTTCCTCACTTGGGTGGACAGCCAAGTGGTGGAGCTGGTTGCCAGAGAGTCTGTGCATTCTTATTCCTTGAAGTTTTTCAAGACCTGACTGGATCAAGCCTTGGCTGACCTTGTAGCTGACCCTGTGTGAGCAGGAGGTTGGACTGGAGACCTCTGAGGTTGCTTCCCACCTGATTCTCGTATGAACCTACAGTGCTACATCTGTCAGATGCTATAGTTGCTCCATTAACATCTGGCAGCTATACTGGCCTGTAGTTTAAGTCCTAAAACTGAAAATTCCTACTCCTGTGAGTGCATTTAGCGATACCAATAGTCCCAGTGAGGTTGATAGGGTTGCTGGTAAGAGTAAGGCATTAAAAGATCACGTCACTAGTCTGGAAACCACTTTTCTTTTGGTTTTTGTTCAGTGACTGGACACATCTTCCCTGAAAAGACCACATGTCAAGGAAGTTATATAAAAGGCAAAAATATTATTCCTTTGGTAGTTGTGGTTTTACATGCTAACTTCCTGTCTTTGCAAACAGGTTATTCCTCCTAATTGCCATGTGAAAAGCCATGATTAACACAGGGAAAATTAATTTACTTTATAATTGAAAGTGCTGTCAAATAAAATATGCCATAATAGAGGAAAACCTCTTTACTTCTCTGTTTTAGTAACCTTAGTTATCAATAGACTGCAAATCAGACTAAGAATGTGGTCTTTGTTGTAGATGTTGCTATTATTGTTGTTCTTTTAAACCACATGATATCCCTGTGACAGAATTGTTTAAATTTTTCTATGAAACTTCACCCTTTGCCCTTTCCACAGATTTGCAACCAATGTGATGCCCTGTTTCTACAGGGATTTATTTTCATGTATCAGTGTCCCTTCTGTTTTTACAGGTGGGCAAAAAAATATATTCATTTGACAGGGTTACTTTTGACCTACAGTAAGAAATGCCTAGTGAAAAGAGAAGTGGAAATTCAGCACTTAGAAGTTAATTTAATTTGTGGAAATGTAATTGAGCAACCAAGACAGATTTCTGTCAGTTAGAGGTTTTCAAGTGAGTTTTCAGTAGAGGACTTGAGCAGCTCTGCGCTGCTACCAAGAAGGCTGAACTTTCCTCTTCTTGGCACTCCTCAACTAATGGAAAATTGGTAATTTAGAGTTACTTCCTCCGTGCAAGAGTTTCATCCCATTAAGTCTCTTATCAGACTGTTTCATGCAGAAGATGAGTTGTGCTTTATGGAGAAGCATTTATAATTCCAGAGCAGGTCAGACTGTAAATGCACATTTAGTAAAGAGCTTTTCAGTTAAAAAGGAACTGTTACTGTGTAGTGTACTTACAGATGAACAAGAACAGCTAGGAGCTGAATCTTGGGGAAGAGCATATTTCTCTCAGGAATTCACGTGTGTCATTTCTTGGCCACTTCTCTTGCGAATCACAGACTTGCAGATAATTTGAGCAGAGTAATGCACGCTGGTGTTCCTTTTGAGAAATACTGAACCCACCCACCTAGAGATGCCTAGTGCACAGTCTGGAATAGCACCTTAAAACTGAAACTCAAATGCTTGAAAAATGGTAATTTCAACTTCCTCTGGGATTATTTCCTTAAGAAAAAAAAAAAAAAAGTCTCTAATATCATAAAACTCAAATCTCTTTGATCCGGTTTTGGCACATTGAGTTGCAGCTTCTTGGCTTCAACATGTTCCAAATTCCAATATTATATCAGATTCTGTTTTTGCTTCATTTTCATACTACACCTGGAGTCCTCTGTGTTCATTAGAACAGGAAGCCACTATTCCTCGTGCCTCGTGAAAGTTGGCAAACATGATATAACTGGTTTCCTCCATGTGTTTGTTAGGTGATGCTGTATTGAGGGTGCTTAGCTACTTGATATAAAGATGTACCTTCACCCTTGCTGAACAATGTAAAATGAAAATGAAAATGGTTTTACTCTCAACATAAAGAGGGAAGACCGAAGTGTAGAAGGTCTCGCTATTTTTAACATGCATTTAAAAAATTACATGGTTTTGGACTGTAATTTGCTGTAATTATCTTACACCAAGTACCCTTTTCCGAGTAACTTTTTTGGTCAGTATCTGTGTATGTTTTCAAAGTGCATTATTTTTAGGGCTTTATTTTCAAGCTGTTCTTTCGATCAGTGGTATGTGGTTGGAACGCTTTCTAACATGCCTTTCTTTTACAAGCAAAGTTAACCTGCCAGGATCTGTGCCATTTCAAAGTTTCTGAAAATTTTCAGCTACGGTTGAAGGATAATTTAACGTTTGATAAGTTAATGCTGGCCATTTCCATTGAAATATCTAATATTTTGCAATAAATGTCTGGTTTTGAATATTTTAATGAAACTGAGGTTTGGGGGGCAAAGAAAAGAGTTAAGAATCTTTTCCAATTAATTTTAATTGTGGTTTACTTTTAATAGTGAGCGTTATGACCTTGACACAGCAATCCTGTTCTGAAGAGATTTGTGTGTGGGCTGAATGCCTTAGCATATTATTAATTTTTTAATAAACTTTCTTTTGTAATTGCTTGTAGCTTCAGAAAAAAATATTCTATTTGTAAATGTTTGGATGCTTTAGAAAGGGTGTAAATTGTCACTGTTCCATTTCACCAACATTTCAGGGCGATATTTACTAGAGATTTTAAGTTAATTTTACCATGGAAAGCTCTTGATGCAGAGGAATAATGATAAAGTAAAAAAAAAAAAAAAAAATTTACTCCAGGTTAAACAACAATTCATTAGAAAGGCTTGGAGCAGAACCCAGACTGCCTGATCATGATTTCAGTCTGTTACCCATTTTCCTCTACCACCTGCTTTCAGTATCTGAAAGATTGCTGCTTAAAAAGAAATTAAAAATATGTGGTTTAACATTTTAAACATATTTCTCATATATCAGAATATATATATATGTGTTTTCTAAGGTCCTTACCAAGGATCTTTTTTTTTTCTTTTTTTTTTTTCCTTTTTCAGTTTTGCTTTATTCTTTGCTTCGTTTCATGTCTATTCAATTTTATTTACGCCATGTTTTCTTTTTGTTTTGTGTTTGTTTTTAGTTGTGTCTGGTAAGTTGAAATTTTATTGGCCATCTTCTAGTCATCGTGTCACTGTGACGGGAACTTCTCCTCCCCTTCCCATCCATCCCCTTCCATGTCCTTCAACCAGTCAGCTCCCATCTTTCACTTGTTATTGACAAGACACATCGAACAGAATAAATTCTGCATGAAGTATGGGTAACTTAATGGCAAAGAGAAAGGTAATGGGTTGCAAACTTTCTGTCTGTTTTTATGTGATGTAACGAGTCCAATCCCGATGTCTTCTTCCTTCAGTGACTGCATTGGTTGAACTTGAAAGGGTGCTATGAAAAATTATGTTCGGTTTAAAGGTCTCAAGGATAAAAAGTTGTTCTTTCTTTGCATGGGTTGTTATTTTGCCATCTTTTACAGTCTTATCATTGCATGCCACATGTGTGTGACCCAAGGTGTGAAATCAAACTGGCATTAAAAAAAGAGACAGTGAAAATGCTTCCACTACAGTTAATGTTGAAGGGAATTTAATAACAGTTTCACTTAACCCTCTTTCAATTCTTCTGACACTGAAGATAATAAGACATTTATTATTTACCTTAATGGAAATAGATTTAGAATAGTACACATATGCATATATATTTAGAATAATATCCATACAAATGCATACTTAGAATAATATCTAGAGAAACATGTGCCTGCTTACGTTTTATAAATTCCACCACGCTTGCCTGTAAGACTAAATTCCCCCTTCTTTTTTGTGTTCAGAACAGTCATCTACAATCACAACCGTACAGCTGTTTCTCCAAAGGCCAGAAAAAATATCTCTTTATAGCTGTGACCATCCTCAAGTTCAACAAAATCTGAAACTTTATAAACCCTCTGCACTACCACAGGATTTAGGAACCTCAGTCCCGTTTTATGTGACATTGTGTCACAGTCTAGTATAGAACTAGTATATAGAACCAAGCCCTAAATTTAACTAGGTGCTAAATTTATTCTCATTATTAGAATATAAGAGAATAACAAAGGTGCTTCACCCTCATCTCCATTTTCCCCATCATACCTTACAACCCTGTGGCAAACCCCCGACCGGTTCACCTTCTGTTGTAAATGAAACCTGCTGTCATGTCAAAGTCTTCCCACATCTTCTTCCAGGGCGCTGGCTGAACATTTCAGAGCTAAATGTTTTGAAGTCTGCTAATTACTGCAGGTCAATCTTACCTTCACTTAGTTTCTTATCTAAGGAAATGCTAGGGAAGGAAGCATTTGCATCCAAATGTACATAATAGCATGTTATGCTTTAGAAGTTCCTCTGAAAGCTGGAGGGTAATAGGAAGATATATTCTGATGTGAACACACAGGGGAGCAGGAACACAAGGCATGGGGAACAGACAACTGCAAAGCTTGGCCCACAGGAACACTGAAAGTGATTTTTTTTTTAGGAAGGACTTGAGTGTTATCGAATTTATTCTAGCTAAAGCCACAATAGCTTATTATTTATCAAACACATTATTATAAAGCATGTCTTTGAATTATATATATTACACTATTTCTAATGAAAAATCTTGTAAATATGTAAATCTTTGGAAGAAAAAACAAACAAACACCAAAAAACATTTGAGTTACTGAAGTCAGATACAAAACATCCCCTTTATTCTCAGTCCAAAGAAGAGGGGAGACCATAATTAGTTTTGGACAGATGATCAGAAGAAATTGGAAATGAATAAGTAAATGGACTTTCATTTAATGCACACTTTTTAAGACATAAGATTTAACAACCTATGAAACACACTAGATTTTTTTTCTGTGCTAGCACCACCAAGATATCTAATGCTGTCATCTATGCTGATTTTTTTTTTATTTTTTAAATAACCGACATGATTTTTTGACGTTCTATTTACTACTGGATGAAGGGGTTGTTGAAGTCTGTACAAGTCAAACAGTTTGGACAATGCTGGCAGTATTTATAACATTAGGCTGAGCAGGTGTTTCAAATTTGCCTTCATTTGCATATATATTTTGTTTGAACATGCTCTTGCCTATGTAAATGAGGAAGACATTTAGCTCTGCTGTTCCTTTAAATTTATTCCTCTTCAGTGTTTGAACTGAAGATTTTAAGTGGTTATAATTTGTCAAATGTTATTTCTTGGGCTTTTAAGTTTTTTGGAGTCCACGACTACATCAAAAGTCTCTTATATAAGCAATTAAGGGCTTTTTCTCTCCTCAGTTTTCCTAAATCAAAGATGATGAGTTGTGTACATGTAAGCCTGACTCTGTAGTTACTCAACAGTATTTCTTGCAGTCCTTAACAAAGTGTGTCCTCTGGGCCAGTTGTCCCTCAGGGGTTTCTCCATTCTGACTTGCAGCCCTTTTCCTCCTTTAAAAACCAAATTGTAACAGATTTGTTTGTATTGGTGACTGTTGCTCTGCAAGTTGTCTCATCAAGTTGGTGGGACTTATTTCCTTGAGCACACAGTCAGGAGTAAAACCACATGATGCACAGTTTTAATTGGGAGTTCCAGGCACTAAAAAAATTATCTGAGCGATGCCAAGGCTATTAGAGACTGATGTGTCTTTGTGCTGCCTCTCCTTATTAAAGAAACTTAAACTGGTTCTGGTTTACACCACTTAAAGTCAGTAGGCAAATTATTCTTTTGAATCAGTTGATAACAGTGTGATTTATTTTTCTCTTTTTTTCGGTATTTTCCTTTCAGAGCCTCCACAGTTTGTTGTAAAGCCTCGAGATCAGGTAGCTGCACTGGGGAGAACGGTGACTTTCCAGTGTGAAGCAACTGGAAACCCTCAGCCAGCCATCTTTTGGCGGAGGGAGGGAAGTCAGGTAAAGCAGCCTTTCTTTTCCCTTCTTCCTGAGATGATTTCACATGAGAGAAAATTATTTTTGTTATTCTTTTAAAGGTGTGGAAAACAGGTTTAGAGCGTGGAGTTGCTGGATATTTATTCCTTACTTCGAAGTCATGTGCCTGCTGGGTGATGTCAACCTTCCTAGCAGAGATGTCTGTGTTTTGCTGTCTCCCGTTTTCTCCATGAGTGTAAAAAGATAAATCTGTAACTAGAAACATTCCATGTTTACTGCTATGACAGTCTACTTCATCTAACAGGGAGAACTTCTCAGAGATGGAGATGATTTATGCTAAACTTTGTTGGAACCCCCCCAAATACTCCCAGATTTTCAGAAAGTTTGTCTCTGGGTTTATGCTGCTGGTGTTAGTTTGCCATGTGTTTTTGAGTGTCTGGCAAACTAACCCGTTTGCTGTATTGGTCTGCATCACTGCATGGGTAGGACTCTACTTATGGTTTGAGGAAATCTACTTTCCCACTCCATCAGTTGATTGACGGACCATACCTGAATAGGTCACTTTTTCTCCCAGGTTCCTTATTTGAATGGGAGGGAAAATTATTTCCAGCCTCTTTGTAAAGGATCTTGAAAGCCAGTGGGTGAAACACAATATAGCACAGCAAGAGAATCACAGTTTTCTTTCAGAGTCATCTTTTGCAGAAGGGATGTGACACAAAGTATTCTTTATTGGAAGGAAAGAAGGAATATGGGATTCTGGTTTTCCTGTGAATGAAGTAATGAATGGTGCAATAGCATATGACAGGGTTCTTTGTGTTACAAGACAATAGGTCAGAGAAATTGAGAACACTTAGAGATTGGCTTCCTTACTCCATTTGCAACATTTCTGTCTGAATACCTGAGTACAACTAGACTGCAAACAGATGATAATCTTCAATGGTATAAGTATACCAGAATATTATGCTTGTATTTTTGTATTTCCTGGATTTTGTTTATTTATTTACTTATTTTATCAAGTGTTGTCTAGAACATAATTTTTCTTGGCTCTGCTGAGCGGTGACCACTTGTGATGATTGAAGGAACTGAAAGAGAAGGTCAATGCCTGGGGTTTGCTAATACTGAAGTAGAGGATGTTGTGTCCCATTCCTTTGGATGATTGTTGGAAATGCAAACTGTAATTAAGCAAGAAAGAGAGATAAAAAATAGCCTCTGTAACCCTAAAGTATTCCCATTCACAAATTTTTGAGCCAGCAGTAGAAATTTGGATTCAGTATTTGGTGTAAAGAACATACATTATTTTGATTGCCGTTTTGGTTTTTGACCGCTGTTGGTAAATACTGTGTACTTCATACCAATATTATCTAAATAGGCAGGGGATTTCTGTGTCGTAAGACTTTTCACAAGACACAAAAACTATGATTAACAAGAGCTAAAGAGCATCAGTTAACCATGCATGGTGCTTATAATGCCAAGATTATGGGTTCAATCCTCATACAGACCATTCACTTAAGAGTTGGACTCGATGATTTTGTAGGTCCTTTCCAGCTCCAAAAATTCTGTGAACTAAGCTCAGTATCTCTTTTTAAAAAAAAAAAAAAAAAAAAAAAAAAAAAAAAAAAAAAAAAAAAAAAAAAAAAAAAAAAAAAAAAAAAAAAAAAAAAAAAAAAAAAAAAAAAAAAAAAAAAAAAAAAAAAAAAAAAAAAAAAAAAAAAAAAA